AATTTTATATTACACTAGGCACATTAACAAAATAAAAGAAGGACAAATGGTGAAGAATTGTATGTACCGGGTGATCGTTCCAAACATCCCTTGACCGATGGTTGGATTGGTCGTACAAGTCGGTTGGATCCACCGGTCCTTGCTCGAGATAATACCGTTGGTTGTATATATCGACGTCCTCCCCAACCTACGAGAAAATAACAACGAGGTTAGTACATAGATTAATTAAAAAACTTATAACAACAACAAAAATTAAACCAAAATAATGAGTACATACCGCTTGAAATTCATCAACATAAACTCCTTCTCTTTGCCACCAATCGGCCATTATTTCGGCGTAATTCGGACAGAGCTTCGGCTCGACTCGGAGGGTTTTGAGGAAAAAACCTAGGAAATATTTTCTGATGGCAGATCGGACTTAGCCGCAACCAACAGACCACTATTTCCTAGGCTTTTGGGAGGGGAGGGTTTAGTTAGAGAGATAAATTGTAGAGAGAGGAGGAAGAATGGGTTGTGGTGTGAAGAAATGAGAGGGGGAGGGGGGGTATTTATACCCATCAGACCGCACCCCCCAGGGGCGGTCCAGTAATTTTGGCCTAAGGGAAACCGCTGCCTCCCGATGCGGTTTGCGCTTCCCAAGGGTTGACCGCTGCCTCCAGCTGCGTTCCCCCTTCCCTGGCACGGATCGCTTCGCTGGCATGCGATCCACCGTCAGATCGCATCTCCATCTAGCGGTCTTGAAGACCGTTCCGCAGCTGGCGCGGATCGCTCCGCTGGCATGCGTTTCCACACTGAGACCGCGCCTCCATGATGCGGTTTATAAGTTAAACGCATCCTTCAGGTGCGGTTTACTTATAAAACGCATCATGGAGGTGCGTTCCATAAAAATGTGTGCTAGTTCTGTCAATTTTTTCATATGTGTGCTATTTTTGTAATTTTTTTTTAGGGTGCTATTATTGGAAAAATCTCGGAAATCTCCACAACCAATAAATGTTGAAGCAACTTCACTAACGGACACCATAGCCACTTCTTCCATTTCCTCTTTCCCGACAATATTTCTTTGAAGAATTTAGTATATTTAGGGATCTTCAACACCATGTTTAGGAAAGGGACGAATACCTTTAATTGCTTCAAGATATATTTCCATGGAGCACATTTATGATAGAGGTCGCTTTCAAATAACCGTCTAGGATAAGGGCTTTTGGTGTTGGCTCGGTTTCATGAGTCTTAGACTTTTCCTCATCTTCAACTTTGACCTTAATGGAAGGTTGAACTTCTTCCCGAGCTAACTCTTTTTCTTGAACAACCTCTTGAGGGACTTCTCTCACCCGGATCCTTGGAGTTGGTATAGGAATCTCCTTCAATGGTCGACCACTCCTTAGAGTTACCGCATGACATCCTTCTTTTGGGTTAGGCTCTGATAGACCATTTATTACACATGTTTTTACCCCTATTCTTGAGCCGTTTGAGATGTTGATTCTCGTGTTTTAAGCCGATTTCACGCTAGGTTGTGCGCTTATGTCATATTTCAGGACCTGGCGTTGGAATCGAGGCGAAGGAACGAGTTTCGGGTCGAAAGGAGCTCGTTTGGGTCGAAGTGTGCTGGAGGACAAAAATACCCGGCCATGACCAGAAATACCTGGCCGGGTATTATTTTGAGGAGACCGGGGAAAAGAGGTTTTCTGCGTCTGAGAAACAGGAGGGGTCCCGGTCGTGAAGCATAAATCCTCGGTCGGGGATTATTGGAGCAGACCGGGGATTTTCCCCTGGCATGAAACGCGCGTTTCAATTATACCCGGTCGAGACCCAAAATACCCGACCGGGTATTGCGACAGGCAACCTTTTAAAGGAAAAGAAGGCTAATAATCAAGGGTTCCGAGTTTTAGAGAGACAGAGCGATTCCTAGAGAGAGGAAGGGACGAACCAGAGTTCCCAAGTGCCATAGCTTGATCTTCATCACCATTGGAGCCCGGCTTGAGCTTGGAGAAGTGCCGATTGACGACCAGGAGCAGAAACTCATCCTTCACAATATGATTTCCGCATCTGAATTTGCTTTTGCTTCTCTCTCCATGGAGTAGTTTCCCCATTCATCTGGGTATGGAGAACCCTAGATTTGTATGTTAGGTCTGATTGTATGAACCCAAGTACAGATTTTATGATTTGATTATATTCGATTGAGGCTTGAATGATTGAATGACTTGAATCCTGATCAAATTCCTGTTGTTTCTGCTTTAACCTAGAATGAGAACATCTGCCTAGGTTGATAGAGCATCCTTAATTGAAGATAGTGAATTGGCGACTTTAGTCGAGGAGCCAATTTGCTATTCTGTACCGAATTCAATTCGGTAGTGGAGGTTTGGTTCGTTAGGGCCTCAATTTGTTTACTCCGGTGGAGGTTAGTCGCCCGCTGGAGACTCAGATTGAGAGGGTCTGGAGACCTTTAGTCGAGACTTCAGACTGTTTAAGAACCTTCCGCAGTATAACTTTCATGAAAACTGAACTTGGTAAATTGCAATCCGGCTTAACTGCAGTCTAGGGGGAACCATATCCGGGTGACCTCTCTCGACTTGAAAACAACCGTTTTACTTGCTTTGTTTGTTTGTTAATTTGGACTTGCACTAAAGTTTCACTGCTAGATAATAAGAATTCACTGAGTAGCCATCAAATCTAGGACCCGTGTTGACATTAAAACCCAAACCCGCTATACTACGCTTTAGGAAGTGGTTACACTTTGCCAATTTCTAGAGTGACAGTAGGAGTGAGTCAGGCTCGATATTGCCCGGTAGAGCTCCTTATGGTCTCAATGAGATAGTCTGAGCCAACGAACTTAGTCGGGCTTCAAGATTTTGAAGTGAAGCTTGTTTATTTCTTTACCCCGCTTCCAAACTCGAGAATTTGGTTCTGGTGTTTTCAATGAACTTATTAATATCTTCGAACTTCTTGTTAGAATGTGTGACAAATTGTCCCACCAAGTCTTCAAGCTTAGCAAGTCGACCATCGGAGGGTTGGCTTTGTTCTTGAAATGTCCCTTGGTATGTTGGTTGACTCGGTCTCGGGTATGTATTTGCATTGGAGCTTGAGATTGGAACCCCGAAGTTTTCCTTTACGTCGGAGAAAACCAAAGAACGTTTAGGTGATTTCTCCATCCCGAATTATAAGTCGAGCTATTATGGTTGTTTCCTCGGGATCGACCTCCAACAAATTTGGCTTGCTCGAATTGAATAGAGGCCTCAATCATCGACTTGCATTCTTCAATGGTTTGACTCGAGTCACCACACCAATCACACTTCATAAGTTTGCTTCCCATTGCCTTTCTTTGATAATGCAACTTGATCGATCTTCTTGGAAAGTTCTTGAATATGGCCGATAGAGATGATGGTTCTTCGATCTTCAATAAACTTCCCTTTGATATGCTCTTTGCAAGTGACTTAGTATTTCTTAAAAAAAAATATTTTTTTTATAAAATGATTAAATCTTGACTACTTTATTTTACTATTAGACTTTATATGAATTTGAGAATTATGAAATTGGTAAGTATATAATATAAAATACATAAGTGTTTTATCACGAGTTTAGAAGAAATAAGCCACGATTTTCATAATTTTTACACAATTATACGTGGGCTATACACTAAAAAATTTTATGAACGATTTATATGCAATATTTTTCATATATATTTTCTCATAACTATAAATATGTTTGAAAAACCCGGAATCCTGTCTCCGTCCGTCCACAATTCTGTCCTCTGCCGTAATGTTTCTCAACGACAGGCTGAACGACCTGCAATATCTCGAGCAGGCACCTACTAAGGCTACTATTGTCTCGGAGCTACAATTCCAATGTCTCAATTTCAAGGACCAGGAAACCGTATCGGACCGGCCGGTCGGACCGGAAAACCCGGAAACCGGACCAGGCCCGGCACAATAGGGACTGTGTACCCTTCAATTTCCTGTCGGGCGGTATTTTCGGTTGGACCGCAACGAGCCGAAATTTCGGCCGGTTTTAATAAAACCGACAGACCCTTAATTAAATGAAAAGGCGTCGTTTTGACATAAGATTAAAAAAAAAACGGAAGCAAAGCAGAGATGAAAAGTCGAGAACCCTACCTCTGTTGGCCTTGCTAGCGCTCTTGTCTCTGCTTCTCATCTCCCCGCGCCGCTCTGCCTCTCCAAGAATCTCGCCGCTGCCTCTACTCTCTCGTCATCCCCAGCAGCAACCAAACACCACCGGCGAGGCGGTGACGCGTCCTCCTTAGCAGCCAAATTCCACCGCGACGCGTCCTCCCCAGCAGTCAATCCCACCGGCGACGCGTCCTCCCCAGCAAATGCGTCCTCCCCGCGCCGGAGAAAGAGGAGTTTCCTTCGTCGTTAGAGGTAGTGTGCTTTTTCTCCTTCTCCCTTTTTCGCTGCTTCTATTCTGCTTTGTACAAAATCAAACGAAAACATTGAAATAGGTTGATTTACTTGATTCATGGGTTAGTAAACAGAACTCAATTGATGCTTTGGACGAAGATGAAGGGTAATATTGCGTTCTGTTGGGGTAAAATTAACAAAGCATTATTTTACAAATTGGACTCCTTTAAAAAATTGCTTTCTGTTGGCTGAACACTAAAGTTTAAACTTGTGGTTTGTTGAACATTAAGCTTGTGGTTTGTAAATATTAAGCTTGTAATTTTGTACTAGTTTCTAAAAATGTATTTGGATGATTATGAGGTTTATTAGGTATTGAAATCTCGCACTTTGTTGAATGTTATCTAAGCTTATTTACTCTTTTACAGTTTCTTAGGCGGTATAATCCGGTTTTATTCCGGTATTTTTCCGGTATGGTACCCTAATTTTGTCAGTACGGTTTTTTAACAAAAAAATAAATTTTTTATTCCAAAAACGGTATTTACCGGTAGAAAACGGTTGAACCATGGTTGTACCACGATTTACCATGCCAAAGACGATTCCGGTTTGATGTCCGGTACGGTTTCGTAATCCATGCTCAATTTAGATAATTCTCTAGTCGGGCTAAATTCCAGCCTCGAATCGAGTCTTCTCGGTTACACCTCCTTCTCCGATCGGGTTCACGTCCTGATCACTGATACCGCTGCCGAGCTCACCGCTCTCGATTCGTCGACGGCCGTTTCTTTTGTAGGTGGACGAGCGAAAGAGCAGGCATTGGCAGAGGAGCTTCCGGCGCTGGCAAAGGAGGTTGCCAGAGTGAAGATAGTTCGAGATTATGCTGGTGAGTTGCCAAAATCTTGTTTGCTTCTATTATTTGGGAATGTTAAATTTACCAATTGTTGGAACTTCACCTATTCGATTGTTCCGAATTGGTAGCGATTAGTGTTTTAGAGATGGTGAGCGCCTATGATGATCTATTGTCTCATTCTATGCTTAGCTCCTTCACCAATGTTTAGAGGGCGCCAAATATTCAATCAGCTTCTTTTAAGGCCCAAATGTATTCCTGGATGAATAGCTTGCTTGGAACCAATTTTTAGAAAGTATATCTCGATTGGAGTAGTTTGTTTACTTTCTCAATTAAGGGTTTCTGTGGGTGCGCTTTCTTTGTAATGTACTAATACCAGACATCAGAATGCATGATGAGATTAACTCATCTGATACCAATGTTTGGCATTCGAGTTTAAGAATAATATAGGACTAGGGCAGTTATGTATTCTTTGTGCGTAAAGACTAAAGTTCATGGTCATGCTACTATTTTGTTAATTGATTTAAATTTAATTTCTTGCCCCAGGAAAATACATTAGTTCTTGAATTAGGCGTGGTGTGGATACATCACCCGTGGGTTATGTTCTTCATGGCACCTACTTAGTTTGTTCATTTAGGCTGAAAACATGGTAAAGATCATTACCTATACCAATAAAGTGGCATGCATCAGCTGTTCTGTTTTGACAGCTGATGTTGATGCAGCTCCCATCTGCCGTTTAATTTCCAAGTTCTTACTTTAGGATTTGATTTGTGTTCACTCTTAGCGGTACCTTTTCGACATTGGCTAAGGTTTTGACACAGAGAGGGTGTGGTGCTTCTGCTTGTATAAGCCAGAGTTCAATTTTGCTCTCGTCTACAAGATTACCAGGGACTATGTTGACACTATGGATGAATTGTTACAACCTCTTGTTGATAAAGCTAGACTAGTGGCCGGGGTATAGTTGAAGAGAAGAATGGATTTCGGCTATGGTAACTTCTTTGTCTACGTACTTGGCACAAGAGGTCTTTCCTGTGTATATTGGGCAAATGGAAGAAGAGCATGTTAGTGGTGTTCAGTCTCAGGCTAGAATATCCTGGCTGCATCTGGACGACCTGATGATTTCTTTTGATCAACGGGTTCTCTCTCTGGCAACACATTCTGGTGTATTGATTTCCATTTAGGAAGACAGGAACCTCGAGAAATTCTCATCTCTATATGTTTTCTGTGATCGGCCGGATTGGCTTGATTTGTGGGCAGAAATAGAGTTCAGTGACACACTTGAAAAGTTAAAAGCCGAAGCAGATGATGAGCGGAAATGGAAAGCGAAAGGTTCCAAACTCGGATAATGCTGCTCACTATATTGAGTCTGTTCTTAAAGAATGGTGTGAGGAAGTTTTGTTTCTCGAGATGAGCTTTGATCAAATTGATCCTTTTCTTAATGATAACAGTGGGGCGAGGTGTCCATTCAATATGTCCACGGGCGGGGTTTTTGAATTTGAGATAAAAGAGCTGGAGAGATATTCAGGAAGGAGTGGGTTGAGAAGATATCAACAGTTGTTTTGAGGGGATTTGAGGCTAGCTGTCAAGAATACCTGAAAAACAAAAGGCAATGGCAGGAGAAGAGGGAAGACGGCTGGATGGTGTCAAGATATTTAGTTGGTGCTCTAGATTATTTACAGACAAAGATGGCAGTCACGGAGGAAAATCTGAATCGTATAGATTTTGTCAGTGTGTGGAGAAGTTTAGCTTCTGGGATTGATCATGCACTCTTTAATGGCATTTTTATGAGCAGTGTAAAGTTCTATGATAGTGGTGTTGAAAGTCTTAGCAACGACTTGGAGGTCCTCTTTGGGGCATTTAGGGCTTGGTGTCTAAGACCACAAGGATTTTCCCCCAAATTAAGTGAGGGCTTGAAGTTGTTGAAGATGAGGAGGAAGCAGCATAATTTGGGATTAACCGGAGATGATAATTGGATGAAAGAGAACGGAGTCAGGCACATGACTGTTAGTGAGGCAAAGAAGATGCTAAAAAGTAGGATGTTTGGAAGTTAGCAGTTTGCAGCATTCAGAACTTTACATTTCCAAGACCCCGTAGCAGTTTGCAGCATCCAGAAAGGTAAAACAAGGCACTAGTTTAGGTTTGAGAATTTCATACTTGAAATTATTCTTTTTTGTAAATGATTAGGTGGACGTGTGTTAACTCAAAACACATTTGTTTCTCAAACTGAAATTGACAGAAAAAAGAGCAGAATAGTTCCAGTTACACTTTATCGAGGGAGAGTTTAGTGAAGTGCCTGTTGGTTGTCATAGCCTCCTTGGAAATTGGCATGTCTGAGCTTTTGCTTTCACATTCAATGCTATTTAACAATGCTAATGCATAGTCGCCTATAATCATCCAGTGACGATGTTAGGTCACTGAATAGGTTGGAAATTTCCGGCCGTCATAGCCAAAGGGGAGGTACTGAACTGAAAGTGATTGGGGTCTCAAGCTCAGATTCTGAAGGCTCTCTGTCTCATTATGACGAATGGTCGTTGCCTTTACTATCAGCTGTCCCCTTCATTGGAAGGACCACGAACATGGGAGTGCATCATGTTTCAGTTTCAATATTTGGTCCTGAGCTTCTGTTTCAGTTTCAACAGTTGGTTGGGTACTCTTTCGCTTTGCACAATTGGAAGAGGGTTGCCAGCAGAAAAGTCGGCAAAGTGAAGTTGATTGAGCAGAGAGCAAAATGCTACCACTCGCCGGTCACTCTGGTTGCACAATAATGGTTTTACTTTTGACACAAGTTGTTTTGTACTGTTGTCATTTTGCTGTGATGATAGTGAAGGATGGGTACCCCCATTTTACCAGAACTGTTGCAGGCAGTGTAGTGTTGGGGGTGGTCCTGATGGAAATGCTTGAAACTGAAAGCTTTGTTTTGAGGGAACACATGCTGCAGGGAAAGGAACACTAGCAGGTAGCAGCCTGACATTTTCTGGCGCTATCACCTCGATGATTCCTACACAGCAACTGTGAAATGCTTTGATGTACTAAGCTCTTCGCCTTTGTGCAGCAGAGCTCAGTACTTGCCTATTTGGTACTAGTTGAACATTTAAACAAATTCGTAGTTGGCTTATGATAATATGTGAAGAAATCAACACTCAGATCAGATACTCTAAAAGGACGGTATATCACGCTGAAAGGCTTCAATTAATGTTCTCGACGTGTAAAATACAACGAACCTCTTTGCTACTCAACCACTATACTCGAGATCAGCCTTACTTCCTCGCCAAAAGAACGTCTTACATTTTAACGTTTATTTTATGCAAATGCTATAACCAAAGGCCTCGCTACTCACTACTGGTTGCATTCCAAAACAAGATACGTAGTTACATGATATAGTTCGTTCCTACAAGAGTTGGTTCCTGAATGCAACGAACATCTTTGGAGAGAAAAGCAACACACAGGCCAAAACTGAACCGAACAACAACTTGATGGCATATCTGAAAGGGTCATAGTTGTCTATCTCTCCAGTGCTGCCACTCGAGGCTGCAATGGCTTTGGCCGATGGTAAGGCTTCGACAACAGCATCAGCCAGATCTGTGATGAAAGACGAGGTGCACCCTAAAGCGGGTACGCGGCCCCAGCTCTCAATCCCAGATTCAAGGGCCAGTTCTCTGTATTCCATGTCGATCTCTTCAAGAGTTTCTATATGCTCGCTCACAAAGCTGGCATAAAGTGGACAAATCCATGAGTTTGAATAAATGATTTCATATTTAAGTTGCTGTTGTTCACAATTCCTGCCAGCAAAAATAAAAGCGATATTTGATCGCATTACCTGACAGGGACAGCCAAGAGGCTTTTCACCCCTTTTTTGCCGAGCTCCACAAGAACCTCGTCGGTATAAGGCTTCAGCCACTGGACTGGTCCAACTCGGCTCTGAATATAGTAAAAGAACAAAGTTACCTGCTTTTACTGTGTTATGAAACAGCACATAGGTCATTGATAGAACTGAATCAGTCATAAAACTCAAAAGTAAGGTAACTTGTGCAGTACAGAATGGCCAAACAAACCTGGTAAGCAAGGGTATGATCATTGTAAACTCCCCTAGCCTTCAACTCTTGCATAATCAAGTAAATGCAATCCTCCATCTGATCTTTGTATGGATCTCCTGCTACCTCCACATAACTCACTGGCACCCCATGAGCACTGAAGAATATCATCACCTATATATAAAGAACGAAAGTTCACTTTTTCAGACCTGAGTCCCTTGAAATTAAGACTGGCCATTTGGAAGTTGAAACCCTCAAAACTCACCTCATCAGGCTTGGAAAATGTCTGCAACTCTTTCTCTATCAAGTCAGCCATAGATTTTACATAACCTTGTCGTTTATACCATGACTCAATGACGGAAACAGGCAATCTTGAGAGATAAGCATCCTTGCTGCATAAATGATCAAATGAATAAAGCTTTACACGTTTTTCAGGCAAAATGAAGACCGAGGATTTGACCAAGATGAAAACCTGAACGTATTCTCAAGAATACGAAGGCTAGAACCAGTTGTAGATATGGAGAACTGTGGATAAAGTGGCAGCACAACAAGCCTTGTTATCCTGTCCTTCTTTATCTGTAAAGCAGAACTTCAATCAATCAGTTCAAGAGTAGCCCACAGAAGCTTCTCAGTGAAAAAATAAAATAAAACACAAGGCATAACTGCAACCTGCTGAATTGCCTCCTCTGTAAAAGGGTACCAGTACCGCATTCCAACATAGACATTTACACTCACATCCTTTGCTTGCAAGGCATCCTTGATAGCATGAGCCTGGAAAACCGAAAAATAGTTCTGAGAATGAAGAAAGAGAGAATTTGACTCTATAGTGGATACCAAAAGAACAGAAGTTTCACCTGCTCATCAGTTATTTTACGCAAAGGTGAGCCACCACCGATGGCAGCATACCCTACTTTGCTCTTAGGAGCACGGAGAACAGAAATTAACTGTGCCAATGGCTTCTGAAGAAACTGGAATGGCCTAGGTAAGCGGATAATATCCTGTAGTACGAAATCGAAGTAGAGTTAATTGCTAATCATAAACCAGAAGCACGAAGTCCCCAAACAAGCAATGAGAAAAGAGGGGGTTGGCCATACTGGATCAGCAAACAAATTGAACAGGAATGGCTGAACATCCTGAAGCGTTTCTGGGCCTCCAAGGTTTAGAAGCAGCAGACCGATTTTCTCTTCAGCGGTTTGCGATTGACTCTGGAATGAAGAAGTCCGATCGAAAGGGCAGATTCCTGCGGAAGGAGCAGCGAATGATTGGGCAACAACATTTCTCTTCCTACCTCGAGATCCAGCGTCAATTGGAGCTGCTTTCTCAATAGGGCTTGCAGTTAACACTAGAGAAGTCTGAGCAGATAGACTCTCCAGGAAAGACACCGATGTAACTGACCCAACCTTCGAACTCGAGCTGTAAACGAAAGAAATTGGATTTCAATTGCAATATAAGTAATGAAATTCTTACACATTGAAGAGAGTTATAATAGGGTAAAATCCTTCTTCACGAGGAAGGAAAAAAAAACCCCAAAAACCTGCAACAAAGCGCAAATGATCCAACGGAGCTATGACTCAGCCTCGGTCCAGTACGATAGAAAACAACTTCGATCTACTCAAAGGAAAAAGTTCATCGACCGACAAAGAGAAGGAACCGGTAGAAGACGAAATTCGAAGGAGCAAGGAAAAACCTCGAGAGTTTATGAGAGGCGACGGTAAGTCTCGTTTGGGGAAGCCCGGCCGCAATTGACGCCGCTTCCATGATCTTTGGAAGTAATCAAGCGTGGGTGGAAGAACGGAGGAGAATAGGCGGCGAGAAGGAGATTCAGTCACGAGTTAGGTCGGCGGGAACGGCGTTGGTTATGGCCAGGAAGGAGGCTTGAGTCCGGACTACCAAGCGGCGATCAGCGTCTGCCGGCGGGTGGCAATTTGCCAATTTTGGTATCAAAAGGTACTTTGCGATCAAAGGAGGTTGCTTGACGGGCACAAAGGAAGAAGAAGAAGTGGAACTTCTTTTACCATTCAACCCCTCATGGTAAATGAATAATTAACTTTAAGGGGTCGTTTGGAAGTTGCGATTGTTTTGTTGAGATTGTCATTATGCATGTATTGTTTACAATGCATCTTTTTTTTTTCTCTGTGATGTGACAGAAACTATCACTCATTTTGAGTATTTATTATATCTCAACTTTTAGTTGTGATTGTTGAGATAGTTGAGTTGATATTGTTTTGTCTCAGCTTTTAGCTGATGCGACATACACAATCACACATACCAAACGTTGTATTCTACAATGCATCAAATTCGACAATACATGTATAATATTATACATGCATTCTCAACAATACATCTATTTAATAATCGCAACTTCTAAACGACCCCTAAATACTAAAACTGGAAAAATAATTTAACTCAATTAAATTAGTTTATGTAGGATTTAAAACAAGGGATTGTTTGGATTGGAATGGAATGTCAATGCTCTACTATGAAATGTGATCTGAGTGGGTTGTGGATGCTAATAGACATTTGTATGATTTGAATGTCAATGTGATTACTGAAAATTTAACTTGTGAGGCAAAAGGACAGTGCTACCTAATTACTTAATGGCCTCTCCATTGTGGGGGTTATGAGTGGAATTAAGATCCATGATTTGCATTGATATTGATGGATAGGATATAGAATAACAACATAATTAGTGTTGTTATTCTAACACCGAGATTAGTATTTTAATGTAAAATACTTCAAATTATTAGATTACTTAAAATGTCATTATGGATAAGAATTTGAATTACGGTCAAAATTCTCATTTAAACATTTTGGGACTCTCTCATCCTCTCTCATCAGTCGCGATTTCCTTCCGACCTTATATTGACGACGCTGCTCTTATGCACCACTGGCCTTACTCCTTGCCCTCCCGCCATTTAGTATTTAGTGATGACAATTTCCAATCTGACTCACGCTACCGACCTGCCCCAACTTGTTTGGGGTGGGTATTACTCTACCCATAGTAGCGTGCCAAGGGGTAATCCGTTAATTAGTTGTGATCATATGTTATATCATCGTATTACACTAATTCTACAAATTAAAATTCAAAATCCGACACCTTAAGACTAGTTTTTGAGTTGGGTGCATTGAACGCACTCATTTTTGTGAGTGCACCGAAGTAGTCACCCTTAATATAATCATACTTTCATCCCAAATAAAGTTTAGAACTTCAACTTTCAACTATTTAGACTAAATTACTCCTTTTACTATATTTAATATTCATTTATGAAGTGTTTTCTTTTCGTCTTCTTGTAAAAGAGTTAAATATCGGTGTTCTTTTATTCAAATGGCATATAAGGATGGATCGACTTGCGTCGCCCCATACTTGTGCGGGTATTATTTGACCTGACCCGCATTTAGTACAGGACAAGTATGAGTATTGAGACACTTGTCACGCCCTGCCCCATTGTCATTCCTTCCGCCATTGCACATTTGCCTTCTCTCTTCATAGTAGTGTTTGATTTCATCGATGAACTTGGTATATTCGATAACAATGCATTCCAATCGTCGAAATTGGTTGTGGTCTCTTCATGTCAGCGCCATCATCATTCTTTGCTCGTCATTCCTTCCATTTTTCTGTCATCGCTGCAATTTTCGACAAGGTCACCTCTCTAGATTTCATTATAGTAAAAAATCGGCTCTCTTTCCACTTCTCACGAGCTAATCCCACATCTTTCATGTATGCGTTATGCCAT